AATAAAATTTTATACATATCTTCATTATATTACCAGCTTAAGAATAGCAAAACACATTATATAACTATGTATCATATATATTTTAAAAATAATTTAAAGCATAATGAGAATTCTCACCTAAAAAAGGGATATATGTTCTTCTTAGAATGTTTTTGTCATACATATTCAAAATGATTTCTTCATGAAAGTCCTTTGGAGTGTGATTGAAATCAGAATTCTTTTAAATTCAACTCTAGCATGTACATTATGGTGAAGGCCAAAAGAATGGAGTAAAAAGATAATGGCCACTGAGTTTCAAATAGAAAATTGATTTTCAAAGAGAAAATGCAAGATGGGAATTAAAAAATTTTAAGTATCCTTTTGACTTACATGAAAACTACAGTTTGATGGCGTTTTCTAATTTCAGTACATGTTTGCTATTTATGCAGATTCCACAGTGTACTGCACCTAGATCTCACTGATGTATGCTGACTCGTTACACTGTTTCAAGCATTAACCATCGGTGCCTTCAGAAGTATTTCCTTATTTAATACTGAAAACAGCCTTGTACACTAACTTCCTGTTATTTTATTTAGTTTGTTTACATTGGGTAGTTGAAAAAACTGAAGCTCAGAAAACACAAAAAATACACTAAAAATAAAATAAAAAGGCAGCAGAGCCAGGTTTCAAACCTCTCTCCTGGCTTTAGACATCTAAATAGAATAAGGACAAAAATCTCACCAAGCTAAATCCATGCTGATTCTGACCTGGTTTGCTGACATCTATATTGATAATAAGACTGGTGAAATCCTGGTTTTAAAAAAATAATAATTAGGACAAAATCCTTTATGGTGATTTCTGAGAACTTTTCATGACAAATATCAACCATCAAAAAAGAAAATAATAGAATATCGGTGCTAGAAGAAAAGATAAAAGCTTAAGGGCAAACATTGATCATCAGCAAAGTCAAACTGTAGTTGTAATGGTGTGGTGGTTGAAATCGCAAATTTCTCAAATGTGGTTTTTCCTTTGTTTCCTTGCTCCTCTGCGTGCTAGAGCACTGTTTTGTTGTTGTTATTTGTTTTTTATTTTGTACTCTGCTTCCTACAGTATTTAGAAACTACCCCAGCAGAGTGCCTACTTGGACCCCCTTTGTTAGGAGACATGGAGGGGATCAGCACGCCATACCAATATACCCAGTGACTAGCAGGAGATGACAGGTCTTTATGACCTCTCCCAGGTCAGATGGTTTGGGCTTTCTTAAGCACAATAGATGAGCTGCCCTCATGCTGTGGCTTTTGTTGATACTGTGGAAGTCATTCAGCTTGTCTCCAAAACAGCATGATTTTGACAAGGTTTTCAGTTCCTGCTGCTGAACAGAGTATATTCAATGCCTAAGCAGTTTGCAGCAGCAATTAAACAAAAACCTTAGCTTTGTTTCCTTTGTGTAAAGCTGTTGACAGGTAGTAAAGAGCTCTGTGGCACACTTGCATAGGTGTTGAAAATGGCTTGTGTTTTCAGATGCACCTCAAATTCCAGAATACATGAACTATAAAGCAAATGCCAATCAGGTTAATAATTTCTTCCCACAGAATTTCATTACAGAAGTACAGTCGAGTCATCTGATATATAATCTAAAGTTTCAGTTGAATACATTTCACCAAGAAGAGGTTGAGGCATTATGACCAAACAATATCCTTGATATTTCTGTGGCCGAAAAAAAAATAGTTTTCACAAAGTATTCTGTACTGGCACTACTTTCTCTTGGCTCCCACTCCCTTTCCTGAAGAATTATTTTTCCTTAGATAGTATTATTTTCGTCCTTGATTAAAAATTCTCATCACTAATTGTTTCCTATGAGATTTCTAGGTGATGGGACTGAGATATTATTTAATCACAATATTGATATTAAATTAGTTTTAAAATTTATTTCAGTAGAAGGACAGAGAGGGGTAGGGAGTTGGGGAGAGATAGCACAGGGAGAAATGCCAGATAGGGGAGGAAGGCAGCAAATCACACTGCCATGTATGTACCTATGCAACAATCTTGCATGTTCTTCACATGTACCCCAAAACCTAAAATGCAATAAAAATAAAAAATTTTAAAAAATAAAATAAAATATTTTAGTAGAAGTTATATCTCACTATGTTGCTCAGGCTGATCTTGAACTCCTAGCCTCAAGTCATCCTCCTATTTCAGTGTCCCAAAGTGTTGGGATTACAGGTATAAACCACTGCGCCTGGCCAATAAGTTCTTTAAGCATGTTCTCAAAAGTCTGTTTTTGGATTTCCAGTGTCTATTTGAATATTTGTGTTTGGCTTGGCATCTTTTGAATACTCATCCTGCATTAGAGGAATTTAGTACATTAGAGGTCCTGCCTACCCAAGTCAGAAGCCCTTCTTTTCATAATATCCTTAAAAACAGAAATTAGAAGAATATCCAGGGCTCTTTCAATTAGACAAACACACATGAGAGTCTGATTCAGGAGACAGTGATGTGAGAAAGAGGATACTGGGCAGAATTTATTTGGGAAGACACAAGTTATGTTGAAGAGATACCTAGTGGTCAGAGCATCCTATGGGTGGAGTTGGCTTTAGGAGTCCCAGGGTTTGAACTTGGAAGTGGCTACTGCAAAGTCTCCACTGGAGTAGCCTGCAGTCTAATCTAGGTGCTGGAATCTCTAGTCCTAAAAAGTCTTGGGCCCTTGCAGAGACTCAGTGAGCTGTTTCTATCCATATATACATGTGCATATATATATATCCATCTCTATATATCTGTACATATATACATATATCCACATACACACCACACACACACACACACACACACACACAGACATATGTATATGTGAGTATTGGGGGGGGACATTATATATAGCTAAAGTAGATACTCTTGTAAAACCATTACTAATAGATAACCAAACTTTCAAACACTGACTTTGAATTCTTATTTTGATATTTCATGTAGCTCTTAACAGAAAGAAGCATAGTAGATGTTTTCCCTTAGATGCCAACCATTGATTTAATCTATTTTGTATTCACCTTGTTTAATCATCCACCATTACCTTTCATATGGTGCATACTTAATAAATACTGAATATATAAACTCTCTTACTCAAATCTTATGATATAAAGCAAATTCTATGTATCAAGTGCTTAAAGGCAAAGCAACATTAAATTTATCATAAGTAGAAACTGTTGCCTTAGAACTTAGTGTATTGAAAGTGCCTTGAGGGAGGAAGTAGAACAATTAGGTGAAAAGAAGGAAGGTGGGTAGTAGGAAAGAGGAAAAATAAGAAAAACTTGTTTAGGATCCACAAATTCTCCTTTAGTTATGAACAAAAGGAAAAAAATCCTTTTTCATAAGCTATCAAAAAATAATTGTTACCATTTAAATCATGTCTGTGAAAGCAAAGATGTCATTGTAAAATTTAATAACACTTGTCCAGAATGTGGTTTTATTATTTTTACAATAAAGTGTGGAAAACGCAGTAACAAAGGATAAAGTAATAAATCAAGTTGCCAGCATGATAAAAATATTATTAGAGTAATATCAAATTTAACTGGACTCTCATTTAATGGGGTGATAGATAATAAAAGTAGTTTTGTGGCAACAGGCAATAGGTGACTCCAACTCACACAACTTTAATAGTGAGGAAGAAGGGGTCTGGTTTCATAAAATAATAATACATGTCATTTTCAGCAACTACAATTTCACTGTCTGAGACTTGTTTGGAATAGTGCTCTAATTTAGTAACCCCTATTTTAATTGTACTTTTACAGCGAAGTTTACTTCACTTTCAACTGTCATCAATTCAGTTTTCAAAGCCTGTATGTTTCCATACACATCTACCTATACTACTTACAACTACTAATAAAATAAGAATTATTCAGAAAGACAGAATAATTGGGTCAGAATGAGATTCTGTTAAAACTGCATCATTTTCCTACACAAGTGAAAATCAGCAAGGCATTGTATCATACAAGTGCCTATATATTGAAGGTATAGAATCAAATAATTTTAGAGGTTAAATGGACTTTAAAGGTCATCGCCAATTTTCTACTTCCTTGGGAAACTTTTCAATAATATCTCTGGCAGAGGACCACATAACTGTAGTGGTAGGGACTCTGTTTCACATTAAGTATCTGTTTGTTTTCTTAACAAAATTGGTCTTTTTGCATGCTACAGGCATAATTCTAGGTGGGTGTTTGCTAGCTATCATATGCCACATGTTGTAAAGGCATATCATTAGGATGTTCTACCCACTCTACAGTGAGCTAAAATTCTTGCTTTATAACCCATCAATAGCCATGCATTTATTTAAAATTAATCAACAGTTAATATTTCTATGTATCTTGAACTTAATGATCCAAATAACTAAATTTAATTGTTAGGTAGAGAAATTGGTATAGTTCCATTTAATTACACTTTTTAAAATCAGAATAGTAATCTTTATTAAAATATCAAGGCTTACCAACTTAAAGAACACCAGTTCAGCCAGGCAAGGTGGCTCAAGCCTGTAATCCCAGCACTTTGGGAGGCCGAGGTAGTAGATCATGAAGTCAGGAGATCAAGACCATCCTGGCCAACATGGTGAAACCCTGTCTCTACTAAAAATACAAAAATTAGCTGGGCATGGTAGCACACTTTTGAAGTCCCAGCTGCTCAGGAGGCTGAGGCAGGAGAATTGCTTGAACACAGGAGGTGGAGGTTGCAGTAAGCCGAGATTGCACTCCAGCCTGGTGACAGAGCAAGACTCTGTCTCAAAAAAACAATAAATCAGCAAACAAAACCACCAAGTCAGGCATGGTGGCTCACACCTGTAATCCCAGCACTTCTGGAGGCCAAGGCAGGAGGATCAATTGAGCTAAGGAGTTGAAGGTTGCAGTGAGCTATAATCTTGATGCTGTACTCCATACTGTACTAAAAAAAAAAAAAATTAAAAAACCCATTTAAGAGAGGATATACATTGAGCAAAATAAACATATAGGTATACTTTATCTCCTTTTTCATAACTATTTCTTAACAATATGCTCTAATTCCCAATCTTGTTTTATGAAGAGATTTCTGCCTTCTATAGGCTGATCAAAATATAACATATTTTCTTAACTTTGAATTACAGGTCTTTCTTGAATTTAAAACTGACGCAGAGCTGATATATCTCCTTTGACTTCTGCCATGATTATGAGGCCTACCCAGCCATGCTGAACTGTGAGTCCATTAAACCTCTTTCCTATATAAATTACCTAGTCATGAGTATGTCTTTATTAGTAGCGTGAGAACAGACTAATACAATATATGCAAAGTTTCTGACACATATAACATTGAAAGTATCAAGACATAGTACACTTTGGATAGTAGATAAATGTGTTTTTAAAAGCCCCTATTTTTGAATGGACATAAAATTTCCAAAAGAATACTAGCCCAGAGGGAAGTTCACACAAATATACACACACACACACTATGAAATATTTTTAAAATATCTTTAAATTTCTCTAAAGAGTTATCATTTAAAGCAAAAAGAGGAACAATATTGTATTATAGCATTCAAAGCATATTTAGAAGATATATAAGAAGAGCACAAAGGACAGGAAAATGTTAAATGGGATTATGCTGTTGCAAATTTTATAGATTGTTTGACTGTAGATAAGGAAAACATGCATATAGTAATCTCTAGGGCAGTCAAAGAGATAAATTGTATAAAGAGGATAACTCAGGAATTTGTGGAGGAAATACAAATCAAATATTAGAAAAATATATTGCTCATCAAAAAAGGGAAGATAAAGATCTGTGGAACAAAATGTATATTAGTATTTGGAACAAATATCAATACATACAATAATTAGAAAAGAGACACTCCAATTAAAAGACTTTGATTATAAGACTGAATTTAAAAAATCAAGATCTGCCTATATGCCATCTACAAGGAACATTAAATAAAAAAGACACAAACTGCATTAAAATAAAAATTTGAGAAAATTTTTCACTTTGAGAACCCTAAGCATAGGAAAACAGAGGTAAGTACATTGACATCAAAGTCTAGTGTACTTTCCGACCAAAAATCTTATCAAAAATAAATCTGTATGTTCACAATAATCAAATTTCAAAATACAAAAGCAAAATTAATAAATTTAAAAGAAAAATAAAATATGCCCAAACAATTGAAAATGTTAACACTATCCTCTCAAAAATGAATAGGACTCATAAAAATAAGTACAGACATGATACATTTGAACAACTATAAATCTTAATTGACATTGATAGAACACTACATCTAACAGTTGAAGAACACATATTATTTTCAAGTGTACATTAAACATTCACCAGGATACACAAAATGCTTTGTCATAAAACATACAATCAAAGAATCAAATTAATACAGAGTATATTATCTGGGCACAACAACATTAATTTAGAAATCAGTAGAAAAGACATATATTCCAAGTATATGTCATAATCCATGGCTCAGTGAAGAAATCTAAAGAAGCATTAGAAGATCTTTTTAGTATTCTGCTAAAGTGGTGTTTAGGATAAAATTTTTAGATTTAAATGCCTGTAGTAGCAAGGAAAATGCCTGGGTAGAAAATCGGTGACCTAAATGACCACCATAAGAAGGTAGATGAGAGTGATTTTTTTTAAGTAGTTAGAAAAAATAAATAAAGGTAAGGTATCATCACACTGTATGCATAATTAGTATATATCAAAGAAAAATAAAATAAACCTAAAAAAGAACAAACTCAATGCTGTAGGCCAATGATGAAGAAACATTTTTTAATGGAATATTGATTCCTGAAAAAGATGGATAAACCTCTAGAGAAATTGATCGAAGTTAAAGAGAGAAAAAAACTAGCCAGAAAATATAAAATAACAACATCTACAATGAAAAAAATGGATATCATTACAGAGCTTTCTTATATTAAAAGGGTTACAAGGAGTATAAACCACTTAGTGCCAAAAATTAGAAAATTTGGATAAAATAAGCAAAGTATTTGAAAACATATCTCAGGGCCAAGGTTTTACTTCTAATGCTTCTGAAACATTAATGAGCTCAAAAATCACTTTGGGGTTCTTGTTAAAATGCAGATTCTTATTCGGAGTTCTAGAGTAAGACTCAAGATGGTACATTTGTAACCAACTCCCATGTGATACTGATGCTGATAAGATAAATATGACATTTGAGAAGAGATATCTACTATGCTCTCACAGTCCTTTTGTGTATGGAATGAATTTGTAAGCATACAGGACAGATTGCTTTGATCTGGAATCCAGAGGAGAGCCAAGACATGGGATATTGACTTTATAGGAATTTGACTGGGTACAAGGATAAGAATCTACGTGTTACTTGGAGAGAGATACAAATAAAACTCCAAAATTACAAAAACAAAAAGCCCACAAAATACACTACTTCACAAGCTTCAAGCATCCTTCTTGACTTGGATCCTCCTGATTCCAAGCTAAAGGGGTGAAGATATCTAAGCTAGAAGAACAGCTATGATACAACTTTAATAATGGGTATAAGGAAACCTGTGCCTTTTTTGGTTTGTTTTTCCCCCCTTTTAATAATGGAGATAAGTTTTCAAAGAAAATATTAAAAATAGCAAAAATAATAAAATTAATTATAGGTCACATTTAAAGGGGCCTTTACAGAAAAAAATTAAGTGTAAACATTTTTCTTGATTTAATAATCAGACTATGTGTTTTTAGTGAAAAATTCAATTTGACTACTTTAAAAGAGAGTCACTAGTCTTCAAAAATAGTTAATTTTCAAAATTATAACTAAGATACTTTTCTCATTTAACAATTAGCTGCACAGTCAATACAAAGTGTATTTTGCCTCATATTAACACCATATGTCTCTAAAGCTGAGCATAAATAAAATATGTACAGACAAAATTATTTTCTCTTTGATTTATATTTTTATTTTAGTAATACTTTACTTTCTGTTCTGATTAATCCTAAATAATCACCGATATCTAGGTTAGGGTAATGTTGCCTGAAAAATCTTAGAAGTTTACTGAAAGAAAATGGCAGACAAAACGTAACAAATTATATCACAGAGCATAGTAAAATAGCTACTTGGCTTTTGCACCATGCTAATTTCTTGGACAGGGGATTTAATTCAGAGTCTGGTCTGAGGTTTGAAGTTTCAGAAAATTGCCTTTGTTAAGCAGACTCAAAATTAATCGGGCTCTCAATTTTATGGGATATGTATACAGAAAGCAGAATATTAAAACATAGAGATGGCAGATTTTTTTCCACCTGATCATATTTCACTCTTTGATATGGCACATGCCTTTCCTGGAATCATGATTTCTAAGAACCTGAATTCAGATCCTTTAAGATGATTTACTGTATGAACTCAGAGCACAGGAAACTGGGCTAAAGGATATGTGGCCATGGAAAATCCTGGTGATCTCTGTCATCACAGGATGTGGCTGTGTGGTGATTAGAGGGCTGTGCAGTAAAGCTTGCATTACTCTAATCTGGTGTCTCTACCTATAAACTTAGATGAACACCGATGATTCTTCCACTGCCTTCGCTTCACATTTCTGGACTCCACTTAGACCAAGCACCTTCATTCTATTCACTCATTTTCCTTCGGGTACTGTGGTAGGCTGAAGAAAATGGCCCCTAAAGATGACCACATCCTCACTCCCGGAACCTGAAAATATGCTATGTTTGGTACCTAGCCTAAGTACCAGTCTTTGGTAGCATAGGTACCAACTTTAAGATTAATTAGCCGACTTTAAGATAAGGACTATTCTCGATTATCCAGGTAGGATGAATGTGATCACAAGAGTTCTTAAATGCGGAAACAGGAGGCAGAAGAGTTAGTCTCAGAATGAGGCAGTATGAGGTGACTAGATTGGCCATTGCTGGCTTTGCAGATAGTAGGGGACCAGGAGCCTAGAAATACTAGCAGCTTCAGGAAGCTGAAAAAGGTGAGTAAATGAATTCATCCCTCCAGCCTCCAGAAAGAGATGCAGCTCTGCTAACACCTCAGCTTTAGTCCAGTGAGATCTATTTCAGACTTTCCACACTGAGAACTGTGAGATGACAAATTTGTGTTGTTTTAAGCTGCCCAACTTGTGGTCACTTGTTACAGCAGCCAATAGCACAGGCACATTATTATGTCCCGTTGCTTTACTTTTGTCTTAGGAAATATCTTGTGTTTTAAGGGAATTTTTACCACTAAGAATTTCATCCAGTGTGAGTTAACCATATGAAGACCAACTTAATGATGACTTACCTTACTGTAGCTTTCTATATACTGACAACAAAAGCACAGGATGTGGAGTGAAATCGTTGGAGTTCCAACTCTGGTTTTTCACTTGATGGCTCTGAGTTCTCCAATCAGTTTGTTTTAAAGACCATACATTTCCTAAACTACCATGCGTACTCAGCTATCTCTAACTAGCCTGACACATAGGATGTTTTGAAGTTCAAATTGGAGAATGATACATAATTAAGATAATCAGCTTATTTTTTTAATTTACAATGATAGACATGAAGATTGAAAGGAAATGCTTTTTAGAAGCTGACTAGCTTAGCAGAAGATATTTGCCCTATACCACTGTTTTTAAAACTTTGCTATTGATTTTACTGGGGAGCTTGGTTGAGAACTGGGGAAAGGTTGACAGAAGGGAGAGGTTGGGTGGTGAACTCATTTCCTCCTCACTCACAGTCAATTAAATCAAAGCAATACCAAATTGTGTAAATTAGAATTTGAAGTAAAGAGAGAGGGTTAAAAAAAGTTGAAAACGCTTGCACTGTGTTATGTGCAAATGTACATCTGTGCAGCTTTGAATAGTTCCTCTGGCCTATGTCAACATTTGGAGATGCACAGTTCCTATAAGCATGTGCATAGAAACAGAAGGAACATATTTGCATATAGGCTTAAAGGAGATGGCTTCTGTAAAATGTCTAGCACAGAGCCACAGAGTGTATTTTTAGTACATTTCAATTTTAGTTGAGTAAAGATGAGTATTTAATAACATGAAGTGGTATGAAGCCAAGAAATGTAGTAGGTTCAAATCCTCTCCACCTCCCTTACTCTTGGATTCTGATTTTAGACACTAATTACAGGACATAACTGAAAAGACATTTCAGTTGCCCTCTATTCTGCTTACTTGTTAAATTAGCCTGTGGAATATTTTTAAAATGAATTTTGTTCTGTTTCTAGAATGTCTTCTCTAGAAAGTTTCTGTCTG